TTATAGGCCAGAAACGAAATCCAAAAAATCACCCATTAGGGTAGTCACCATGCAAAATTTCAAAGATGACATGTTTTTCCATTTTTCGGTGGCTACAGTAGCGACATAAGTGTCAGCACTAAATTCGAGAGTGGTGTCAATCGTCAGCACTAAATTAGCACTAAATTGTAGGCCGGAAACCAAATCCAAAAAATCATCCATTAGGGTGGTCACCATGCAAAATTTCGAAAATGACATATTTCAGTTTTTCAAAAATTCAGTGCTGCCATCTGGGAGCAGCACTTAATTCGGGAGTAGTGTCAATCGACAGCACTAAATTAGCACTAAATTATAGTATATGTGATTCAGCAGCACTAAATTGGGGGGGGGGGGGGGGCAACGACATTGACCTATTATTCACTCGCGTATTCCAATTTTGACCAAACTAGTGCACAATATAATATGTTTGCAGATTCGATCGTGTACACAGAAAGAAAAAATGTGGTATTTTTAATTCAATTTTGATAGATTTAATATAAAATCAACCAACAACGAATTAAATTTACCTATTTTGACATCTCTGAGGCATATTTCTCAAAAGAGACTATCAGTTTAATAAGTTTTACCAATTGCTTCATTTCATTCACCAAATTCATGGGCTAGCGTCATCTGTGGTTTCGAAAAGTTGGTAAATGTAATGAAGCAGTTGGTAAAACTTATTCAAAAAATAGTCACTTTTTAAAAATATGCCTCAGAGATGTCAAAAATGGTAAATTTAATTCGTTGTTGGTTAATTTTTTATTAAATCTACCAACATTGAATAAAAAATACCACATTTTTTCTTTCTGTGTACTTATTCTTTAATGTTCGTTTGATGAAACCCATTGCCACATGTGCACTGGCTGCAATCGCATCGATCACTTTCGGTGATAATCCATCTGGACCGGCTCCTTTGTTCGCGTCAATGGATTGCAATGCCTTTAACACATCGGCTTCAGTGATTTCAAAGTCAAATGATACGTCTCCGCAGTCATCCAGCAATTCATCCAAGTCGATAATGTCGCTTCGTGTGTACTGATTTTCGAAAAAATCACTGAATAATTCCACTTTCGATGTGTCGGTGTTAGCTGTCACATCATTATACTCAACGATAGCTGGAATATCGCTCCGTTTTCTTCGATCATTCACAAATCGCCAAAAGTGTTTTGGATTTGATTTGATTTGTGATTGTATGTGGCTGATGTACGATTTAAATAACTGACTTTGTAATTGGATGAACGAATCCGTGATTTTATTGTATTCGTCGAAATTGCCAGTCTGCCTCGCTTGCTTGTATGCTTTTCTTCTGACATTTTTCATGTGCTTCAATTGTTTCGTGTACCATGGTGGATCAGTGCCACTTTGAACGGTTATCCTCGGGACAAATGAATCGATCGCCTCGTGTAGAACATTTCCAAAAATGTGAAATGCATTCTCGAGGTCATCTATTCGATTAATTTCTGACAAAATGTGATTTCCAAAGAAGAATGAATTCATCGCATCGAAATCGGCCGAGTTATATGCATAAATTTGTGAAAACTGCAGTGATGTGATCTAATTTTCATCAATTGTCACTTCCATTTCGAGTGCTTTGTGCCAAATGTCCGATTTTACCAATGGCCTTTTTGATTCAATCAACGATATTTCGTAGAGCCTGTTTGTGAATACAAGATCCAAAACATTGCCGGCTGGATTCAGGATATTTGACAGTTGGTGGAATCCACAGTCGAACATTGTGTCAAAAACAGCAATGCCACCTTCTGTCGACACATTAATTAGTGTGTTGAAAAGTCGAACTCGCTATATATACACGAAATATACGAAATACAGACCAGAAGGCTCTTGGCCCGGTTGGAAAGCCCTTGGGCCATAGATCAAGAAAAAATATAAAAGTTTGAAAATCGGTCCACCTGTCTTCAAAATATGGTCTTTTCAAGAAAAAGGTCAAAATTCAGTTTTATGACCAAAGATGGTACTAAATGAGGTCGTTGACTCCTGAAACATCGATATTCGGATTCTAGAGCTCAATACCTTTCCAACGACCTCCTAACCGTCGAAATCGATCAACTCGTTCCAAAAATTCAGCATTTTAAAAATTTCATATGAATCTCTATGAAAAATCAAAATGTCTGTGTGTCTGTCTGTGTGTCCGCGATTTCGCTTACTCGATTCTGATCTTTTTGAAACTTTCTGTGATTAAAGTACATAAAAAATCAAGACTTTTTTGTTACGGCACTTTTCGATTTGGCCGCCATGTTGGCTGTGGCCGGCCTTCAAAAGTCAATTTTTGACTTTTGTCCCTACGGTCACCGAGTTGCCTCCACGTGACACACCCCGGACATATGCATATCGTTGAAAAGGTCTTGAAGCCAGCTATCGAATGGTGCCATTTTTGGTTCAAAAATTTTGATTTGAAGTGGCCGAATTGGCCAAAAACCATAAAATTAACCTTCCGGCCGGACACATATGGGCAATTTTCTCGAAAACAAGACAGAAAATATATCTACCAACTATTTTCGTCACAAAATTGATATCAGAAATTTTGTGTTTCAAATTTTATTATTTTATTTTTTTATTTTAGAGTGACGCAAAAATACATATCACATATAAATATGTGTATATGTATGTTGGCATTGCGTCACTTGGAGGACTATCGTGCCCCGTGATAAATTTCATAAAATAATTTTCCAACTGCTTTAAATTTCTATAATTCATAATAAATCATTTGTATTTATCTGTTTTGCTTTAAATAATTTTCTACATTTTTTTTTATACATATCGGCAATTCTATATGAAAGCGTCCGGGGTTGCAATTTTTGAGAAAACTGAAAAAAGCACTTTTTTGTATGAGTTTCATATCAGAAACGGCTCGACCGATTTCAAAAATATGTAAATCGTTGGAAAGGGAATGGATGGGGCTACAAAAAATGCCAACACTTCGACCCCCGGGGCACCCCTTACTAAATTTTTGGGTCAAAATATAAAAATCGATTTTTGGTCAATTGACGTATGTTTTTTTTCGCGATTTTTTATGCCGCTTCTATTGACGGTGTCAAACCACTCGAGTAGGTGGGTCTTAATTAATCAAAAAACCACACTATTGATCAAAAATGAGGGTTTTGAAGTTTTCACTGTCATTTTCTGGTCGTATGTGAGAAATGGATTCGTTACTATTGCCCTATTGGAAAGATATTAAGTCCCTCTTGAATACCCAACACAAAAATTTTTTTTCAGTGGAGGCGGTCAAATTACTGTAAGTAAGACTGACAAAAAATTAGGAAAAATCGAAGAAAATCGTCATTTTTCCATAATAACCCCCATTTTTTCTTCTATTAATCAAAATATCGTCCAATTTTACCCCGGTAAGCTAATTTTCAGAACCCAAAAAATCGTAGTTTGGTCAAAATTACAAAACGTCTGAAGTGGATCAACCTTTTTTCATTTTTTTCAAAGTGAATGTTTTTTGGAATTGCTTTTCGGGGAGTTTATTTTTATGACTGATCTTAAATACTTCGGACCCGAGGAACTCAATGGTGCCAACAGTTTGACCGATCAATTCGAAGATTCCGAGATAATCGGCATGGAACTTTACCTTTTCGAGTGCATTTCTGATTATAATTTGGTAATAATTTTTTCCATTTGATCATTATGAAAATTCGTATTGGGGGATTTTTGGGCACGAGAAAACTGAATTTGACATTTATTTTGCGAAAAAATCAATTTTGACATACTTCCCAAATGGAAATCAAAATTTTTTGACACTTTGTAAACTAAATTTTGTGTGGTAATAGTATCGAAACTTATAATATTAAAATATTTTCCAACCATGAGTTTAATTTTTATTAGCTTTAAAATAATAAATAGAAAATTTAATTTATAATATGTTTTCTCATTTGCAACAGAGACGTGAAATATTAACGGAATATATGTATAGATGTATAGCTATATTCGGAGATGGTGTTCGAAAATTCGAATCTATTATGATGTGTCAAAAAAGAGAGCGAAAGTTGTTGTACGACCATCACTTAAGTTGTGTATTATCAGCAACAATTTTATTTACTTTAGTATTATTTTCATATTCGCACATTTTATATTCAATAGTCTAGGAGTTTAATGGTCTCAACAAGTGCCTGATATCATGACAATCATATTCGAACGACGACAAGTAAATTTATTTGGCAAATGTAAATAATATATTTGAAATTACAAATTTATTTTTTTTTTGTTTCCTTATTCAGATTAACGATAAATTTCTAATTGTTCAGTTTCAATTTGATTCGTACGATGTGAAGGGAGGTGACGTTCATTCGCTTGATAAATATATTGGGCTTGATTTGTGGTCACAAATATATACGAAACTGAACACACCATTGGAAAAATACAAATCCAATATTGAAGCCAAATTAAAAGCAGAAACAATTTCGATGCATCGTGCACAATTAGAACTGAAATTGACATGGCGTAATAAACAACCATTTCATAGAGAAGTTTTGAACCAAGAAAAGAAAAACTGTGATTTATGCCCATTCGTATTAATTGTATCCATTAGCCCGGTTTCACTAGTCAACAAATATAAGAAACAACTTTCTCAAGATAAATTGACAACGGAAAAATCACAGTCCAAATCGACGAATGAACATAAATCGGCAACTCAACCAAAACTAATGAGTGGACGTGAATCAAGCGATTCGAATGGTACGCGTACACCAAATAGTGTCGATTCAACTGAAAACGTCGAGGAATATGTGCCACCTGGTATCACTACTGCAAAAAACCTCAATTACACACCGTCACCTACTGGCGTGAAAAAGATGGATGAATATACACCGCCGAATAGCATTAAATCTGATTCAGACATTATCACATACACACCCACGAAAATCGACGAAAATAAAAGTTACAAACATAAATCAACCGTCAAAACCGATTTAAATCGAAATGATTGTCCACACAAAAAGAAGCGCACTAATTATCATAAAGTTGAACGTAATAAATACTTACTTACTTCCATTACTCTACAATTTCTGAACCATTCCTTCGATTCATTTTCCATCCTGTTTCATTACTTATTGATTAATTTCAATGTTTTTTATTCTTTTCTTGTAGGTAATGGTCGAGCAAATTTGCGTTCAGCTAAAAAGGCAACATCAAAGCCACAATCGACAAATTTGTATAGTTTGGTTAGTACATCGCGAGCATTAAATGACGAAACCAAAATTAACGAAATCATCCCGATTGAAGAAAAACATTACAAGAACAAACAATTTGAAAAGAATGATGAATCGAGAAAATTGAAAAAACTCCGAAAAGACTGGGAATTGGACCAAATGCAAGAAAAAAATATTGTCATCGACAAGATTCTGTATATTTTGATCATTTTTTTCTAACTTTTTAACTGAAAATCAAATTTTGAAAATCTTTTTTTTTTTCAACAGGAACTTGCATGACATGACGTTCGACGAAATCACAGATACATTGCCTCAAAATGAAAAATTGTTGCGTAATAGAGTTCGGGAATGTGTATCCACTCCAGATTATTTGATAAAGAAAAAAGCGGCTGACTACTGGGATTATTTGTTGCTTTTAGACGGTTTGATTACAAGTGATCAACAAACATATATGTACACACAGCTTCGTCAAATGTTTTTCAAAGACGAACCGGATGCCACTTCAACGAATGTAAGTAACAATCATTAAACAGAACTAAAAATAAATTGATAAAAAAAAAAAAACAAATTTAAAATCTAATCATATTTTTTTCAGCATGAGAATCTTTTGTGGTGTTTTTTGGTAAGTACATAATTTTATTTATTTGTCGAATATACTTATTATACCAGCAATAATATTATGGTGGTAAACATTGCTTTCAATCAATAGTGATACTTAAACTATATACTTCGTCACTGACCTTCGCGACTTCTCCCCACACTTAAACCATATACTTTCTTTTATAATTTCATTTTCTTCTGATTATCCCTAATAGGTACCACAATGGGCAATACACATTTTTATGAATAAATTTATTCTGACGAAAGACGCGGCTATTCGACGTTTGAAGGATCAAGATCGAGCCAGCATTCAAGCCTCGTCAGGACACTAAAAATTTTGGAAATTAAACTTATATTAGAAAACGCCATTTATCAACTAAAGGGGAAAATGCAGCTAAATACTTAAGATATGACCGATTAATAAACTGAAGAATTGTTTTTAAAGAAATTTAATAATTTACTTAGAAGTGATTAAAAGCAATTACTAAAAATGTATTTGTTTTATTCAGTTTCGAAAATATTCGAAGGGAATGTGAATGGAGCAGTACACCAATGGCGTGTCTACACGTAAAATATCTTAAATGTGACATCTGTCATCGACCAGTAATCGTGTTTTCGAATTATTCGAAACAAGTTTGTTTCAAAACTGTCAAATCCACAAGAAAACAGTATAAATCGTAATAGTGTGGATAGAATCGCGAGAATTACTTTTATTTTTTCGTTGTATCATTTTCTTTTCAATGAATATTTGAAATTATTTTCGAAAAATTTCATGAACTATCTTCTAAATATTACATTTCATTTGTCAGAATAAAAAAAATGTGAAAATGTGTTGTAAAACCCCAATGCAAAGCGAATGTCTTTTATTTTGTTTTCGTTTAGTTTAGTTATAACACGCAATCAGCATTTGTATTGTATGTATTTTGTGAAGACATAGACAAATAGAAATTGAAAGCATCGTTAATGTTGTAAAAATAACTAAATAAAGATGGCGAGTGGATTGAAATGCAAGAATTGTGGATCGTCAAACATTGAAGTGGACAGTGGGCGAGGCGATGCAGTTTGTACGAATTGTGGTTCGGTTATCGAATCTGTTATTATTGTTTCGGAAGTACAATTCGAGGAAGCAGCGCATGGAACAAGTTCGGCCGTTGGACAATTCGTGGCGGCCGATTCAAAAGGTGGTGCAACGGGTTATGGAAAATTTCATGTTGGCGTTGGCACCGAATCACGTGAAGTGACTTTGCGTAAAGCTCGTCAAGGTATTACACATTTGAGTCATCAGTTGCATTTAAACAATCATTGCATCGATACTGCATGCAATTTCTTTAAAATGGCATTGATGCGACATTTAACCAGAGGACGAAAAAATACACACATCTATGCAGCTTGCGTATACATTACATGCCGAACAGAAGGCACTTCACGTATGTCATGATAATATAAATGTTTTTATTTTATACTAATATTTTCCATTTTTCAACATAGATTTACTGATCGATATTAGTGATGTGTTGCAAATATGTTGCTATGAATTGGGACGTACTTATCTGAAATTGTCACAGGCACTCTGTATCAACTTACCATCCATTGGTGAGTATCACATATTAAAACAAATGAAATGTTCTCGTTGTAAAAACATATTTTAAAACGCACCAGTATTACGCAATTAATTCTCCTACCCAATGAACAATTTGTAATACAAATTCACCCATTACCAGGCACAAATCAACGGTAAAATTTGGACCCGAATTTGTGTGTAGTTTCAGTTATTTTTACGGTTGCCATAGCGTAACATTCAGGTGTGAATACATGGAAAAGAGAAACGACAATCATTAGTATCAATTGAATTGTATATGAAATATCATTTTTTTAAATTAAAAACTTCACTCACCTACGGGCTCCTTCCCTCCGTACTACCGTTGTACTGTTCTTATGAACGCACAACAAGGCCACAAGATTTGTGTAACACAAATGGTGTCAAGCCTAGCTAAGCTAACTAATCGTTATAATATTTGTTTTGTCTAATAATTTATGGATTCAGTGCTACTGTCAGTTGACATTGTTTGGTGGTCTTCTCAACGAATCAGGCACTAGTATGCCAAACATTCGACAAAGTCCTGTGTAATTTGAAGCAAAAACATTAAAAAATGAATAGACTCTATTTTCTATTGATTCATACCTTTGAGCATAACGCATTTTGCAGCAACAATATCGCGGTGCCAAACAACTGTCTGTGGAGCAGCAACATCACCCTGAACATTTAATGGCCAATTTTTGAAGGTAACTTTAACCTTTGACATAAAACGCCCATTCCGAATTATTTCGTTCACATCCTGATAATTGCCATTGCGAATTCGACGCTTAATTTCCTTTCGTCCCTTTTGCAAAGCGCGTTTGCTAACCGTTGTCACAATTATATCTGGTAGACTAGCGACTGAGTCCGGTAGTCCAGCAATCGGTTTCGCTTTGCAACCGTAGCACACTTTGAATCGATGCGGTTTTGTGTTCGCTGGAAATCGTTCTTGGCAATTCGCACATGTTTGTGATGTTCCCCATTCATCTTCCATTTTCACCACTGAATGGCCAAGTTTCTTGACGCTCACCAAAAATTTCCGAGATCCTGGACATCTTTTCCGTCTCTTCAAACCAAATGGCCGATTGGGTGGCATCTCCGACGCACCAAATATAATTATTGACGGCCCGTTGTTGGTCACTGTAACGGCGATGTTATCATTTACTTGGTTCGTCTTCATGTAATGATCAAAATCCAGTCGTGAATATTTACGCGTTGCATGTGCTGACCATATCTCAAATGCGTTGGTATTTCTACATTGTTATGCCGAAACGTTTGAAACTTCACGCTTTTGTATAGTTTTTGAACTTTCGCATACAATACTCACATAAAACATTGTATTTGTCTATGTAATTTTCATACAAAATATCGTTTTTGTATATTCTCTTTTGAGCGGTTCATCTTCATTTATGCTTTGAAGAAGATCCGCACAAAAGAGAATACACAAAAACGATATTTTGTATGAAAATCATATGTACAAATACAATTTATGCGGCACGTCATCTAGTTTTCCTTGCATATTTTTTCTGTGTAAAACTGTACACTGCTGAAATATGTGCTTATATAGCTGAAGTTAATAAGTTTAGGTGTTTCAACGTGTCAGCAACAGGTGGCATAACGCGACTAATTTTGCCACTTTGTTCGAACATGTTTGAGTTATGGTGCTGACATTCCTTTTCGTAGCATTTTGATGCGATACTCAATGTACCATTGCCATGTTGAATTACGCGGTGATGGTGGACCGAATGGGTATGTCTTCAGATGATTCTTTTCTTCGATATCAAACCATCCAGCTAATTTTTTCGCCTCTTTTTCTCTTCGTTTCTGTCGAGTTTCCCAGTAAAATCGCGTGTTTGGTATTGTGATGTTTTCCTTCATAATTCAAATTGATAAAAAATAATGAGTTTCGATTCAAACACATTTCAAAACACATTTCAAAATATCTCACCTCAACGTCTGGTTCATCAGGTGTTTTCCGGATGTTGCGACGCGTTATAGCCAACCACGTTTTTTCATTCGGATCGATGCCAATAACGTATTTCTTGCCCACAAGATTGTCCGCCTGTAAATGCACATTTTCGTTGCACGGCTGCTCTAGTTTGGTGTACAGTGCCGATACGGAAACACTATTGGTCACGATTTGATGATTGAATTGTTTGGATCGTTTGCCCAATTGCTTGATTTTATCGACGTCGAACAACAAATTCCATAGTCCATCTCGATCATGATCTCTGTAGTATTTTTCACAAAAAATTTCATGCATTTTTCGCGTCGCCATCCAATTGCGACCAGATCATCCAATAAAATGTTGGCCTTTTCTATTCTTTCTACATTACCATTTGTCAAGTCGTTGGATCGATATGCTAACATTTTGGCATTTCTGATGTCGATGCCATCAAATCTCGGTCCATAGATGTTGTGATTGCGATACTAGCATCGCATTCGAAAGAATGACTCAAGTCGATCTTCACACCAAGTGGTAAGACCAGTTTTCGTATTTGCGATGTGCTGTTTGACAAAATAACGAAAACCATTCTCCAACTTTTCCTTGCTTGGCCATTCGAACTGTTCATTACTGAAGTTTTCGACCATGAACCGAAACTCTGGCGGTATGGGATTTCGGCTATTATTATTGTAAACATTTTCGGCCAATACCGCATTGAAACAATCGAAGAAGAACTGTCGACGATCCCGTCGCAAAAAGAATTGACGATCTTCATTATCGAGTGCTTCATTCACCTTGAATAAAATCAAAAGTGAGGCCAATGAGGCAACTTCCGTCATTTGAAGACTGCGCTCAAACAATATTTGCATCACAACTGCTGCATGCTCGGGTCGAAGTATTGTTTGCAATCCACATTTTATTGCAACGAAATTATTTTCTTCTTCTCTTTCGTCATCATATACCGGCGAATCGTTGTTATCTTTTTTTCTTTTCATTCTCGAAGAACTGATACAAATAAACGAAAATAAAAAAATACACACAAATTTAGAAAAAAAATGCACCAAATATAGCATATATCACAAACACAATAAGATGAAAACACTTCTATCACAAATCAAATGAAACAGTAATCAAGAACGCATTATAAATATCACGTCTTACCTCAACAAAGTGACTCTGTATTCTAAATCGAATGATGAAATTTATTTCCAATGTGACATGAAATATTTTCCCGATCGAAATGTTGTTGGAATATTCACAGTAAATTTTATCAACACTCTGTTATTTCGAAATTAAAACAAAAATGAACACAAAACCAACTGTGAATATATCCATTCCTCAGCGAACAGCGTTCCGAACACACAAAATCGTTGAAATTGAAATGACAATAAAATCAATTGATCGCCCAAACCACGCTACAAACACTCACATCTAATTCTCAGGAAATCCTCTTAAAAACAAAACAAAGTTTTATTGTAAACAAAATCGGTTGGTGCGATAGTTGTTTATACTAACAATACTGTCACACGATGTGAGCACATTTTTAATACATATAAATGAATATCGTTGGATTTGGTTTGACACATATACACCGAGCTAATCGAAAAATGTCAGAAAGATGTCAGTTGCACTTCGAAAATTCAAAATAATAATTCCAAATAAAGAAAATTAAATGCAATAAATGACGTATAAAAAATAGTTCTTCTGCAGAGTTTTAAATTAAATTATGCAAATCTCTTTCCTAACAAATTGTTTATTTTTTTATTCGAGCGTAAGACTTAGATTTTCAATTTAAAACTTAATGTATTGGGTTGTGTTCACATTATGTTGTCAAATGAAATATTATTGGAAGTGAAAGAAACGAATGGATCCATTCCATTGGAATTCGTGGGAACTATGCATATAATCTCCGTTCCATTTGACACGAAAATGACCACCAGAATGGGCCAAAACGTTACATTATTCAACGTTAGAATGTACTAAAAACATTACAAATTTGTTTTCTGGGTAGGTAATTCTAGCAATAAATGTATTTATTTATAAAAATGTATCAATATAACGTAGATGCACCAATTATCATTTTTATTTAACGCTGTTTAAGACAGTCAAATTAGCTGTGTCTGAATTAGAAAAATCGAATCGGATCTCATTTTTGAAACAATATGGTATAGATTTTATTCCATAATTGTAATTTTTCACAATTTTTGTTAGTGCATTTTTTTTACTCAAATTAAAAAAAAAACAAAAGTAAAACCAAAATAAATGATCTGCTAAGCAGCCTACGTAATAATATATAATAATTTAAGAAGTTGGAATAATGCACAGAATTACTAATAATAATACTAGTGTCTTTCTTCATTTTTTGTTTCTTTAAATATTTTTTGAGATTTTATATAATGTTTAAAACTCTAATGCTAAAAACATAGCTGTCCACGAACACTAACGAACGAACCGTTCGTTCGTTCGTAAAATATTTTTTGGTCTTTTTGTTCGATCGTTCGTTCGTAGAATTGTATTGCGTTCGTTCGTAGAAAATGAAATGTTCGGATTGTTCGTAATTTATGAAAATTTATTTTCTCAAAATAAACAAATATTGGGATACTAAATGTAAATTGGAAAAACCTTAAATCTATTTTTCCCGCTTTTCTGATGAAAAATCGTGAAAATAAGCAAAATATTGACTCTCGTAAGAAAAAAAATCAATTTTTTGTGCATTATACCCACTCTCCAAGAGTTTCATATAAGGATGCCATGTAACAGCAGAAAGACAGTCGAAAATATTGAAAAAAAAAATTTCTCGTATTTTCAACCGTCTTTGTACAAAAAATTTTTTTCGTCTTTTTGACTGTCTTTCTGTTGCTACATGGCAACCTTATATGAAACTCTCGGAGACTGGGTATAATGCACAAAAAAAGTGAAAAAAAAAATCTTACGAGAGTCAATATTTTGCTTATTTTTCACGATTTCCCATCGGAAAAGCGGGAAAAATCGATTTAAGGTTTTTCCAATTTACATTTAGTATCACAATATTTGTTTATTTTGAGAAAATAAATTTTCATAAATTACGAACGAACGTGTTCGTTGTTCGTACGAACAACGAACGAACAATCCAAACATTTCGTTTTCTACGAACGAACGAACGAACGCAATAGAATTCTACGAACGAACGAACGAACAAAAAGACCAAAAAAATTTCTACGAACGAACGAACGAACGTTCGTGGACAGCTATGGCTAAAAAGAACGTTTGCGAAAAATAATTGCTGGCAAGTGGTTTTTATGAAACTGTATAAAAATCTATTCATTTGTTGAACTGCTTGCACTACTGTGCCGGCTGCCGCTGTTCACATTTTGCGGTGTTGGCGGTGATGGTGATAGATTAGATGAGTTAATGACTGATGCATTTTTCGTTAAAGATGGCGTAATATTAGTAATGTTTGTGTCACTCGTGCACGTCATGGTTGGTCCATAAAATATTAGTTCCGGAATCTGGCCGCCTTGTACGCCAGTACCGTTGGTACTATCCGAGGAGCATTGAAATTGGAATGTAACATTGCCGGTACAAACTTCAGTCATTCCTTCTTGACCAAAGAAACTCAATTCACTGCCATCCAAAATAACTGAAGCTGTATACCATGAATCCGCTTCACACTGAATCGGATTTTCAAAGAACACATGAAATGTATTACTTGAACCATCCGAAAAAAATTTCGTGTTATTTTCTGCTAATATGCATCCAAGACGCTTTAAATCTATTTTCACATTATACTCAGCCGCACCAGTTGATGAACCATATAATCCAAAACCAACGATAAAAATGCGTTTATCTACCGAAAATTGAATTGAATCACAGCGTCCACGATAGCGCCATTGATTGCTTCGATACGCACAGGATTGAAAACGATGACACACTTGAGTCTTTAGACCAGCCCGCGGTTTTATCGAATAATCAAGATTCGGTTTCTTTTTGGCCGTAAAACTTAAAAAAATATCAATGGTTTCTTGCGGCGTCAGAATACCTAAGGGGAGAAACAAAAGAAAAGAATATAATTAATTTAAAATAATCGACAAATAATCGAAAATAATCGAAAAAGAATCGTAGCTTACAAGTGTATATATCAATAAGTTGAAATAAGGCGACCACATAAATAAAAAGAAATCTTAAATGAAAACTTTCCATTACTGAAATCGCGATAGCTAAAAAATAGCTGAAAATTGAGATTTTGGTGATGATTGTTGTAGCGGAGAAAAAAGAATGGAAATTATTATAAAATTAGTAGCAGAAAATGTATGTATTAATTTGGTTCATTGTGTTATTGGTTTACAAATTGCGTAGTCTCTTTCTCTTCTTTTGTATATACTTACCTCACATGCCGAGTTCCGCAAGGTTTCTACAGGGTGGGCCAGAATAACTGCAATTTTTATATGTGCTCAGAAAAAGTATTGTTTTTTACTAAAATTGAATGAAAACTTTATTGGGATTTAGAATAGGGTCCAAAATTTTAAATTCATGTTTTGGTTTTGATTCTTCCTCCGTTTGCACGGATCACCAAACGCAAACGTCGTAAAAACGATTTACACGCGGACCGCACCATTTCGATGGGAATATCGTTCCAAATCTTGACGATTTTCTTTTTAAATGCATCCAATTTTGTGGTTTTCGTAATCTTCAGATCATTTAACTTTGATTGCATGTAGCCCCACACAAAATAATCCAATGGATTCAAGTCTGGAGACGATGGCGGCCATTCGTCTTTATCAATAAAATCAGGCACATTTTCCTTTAACCACTGTTGCACTCTGTTTGCTCGATGTGACGGTGCCCCATCTTGTTGAAACACCCATGGTTCATTACCAAACACTTTTTTGGCGTGTGGCAACAATTTTTTGCGCAATATTTCTTCTTCATACACAGCTGCATTGATTTTAACGCCACTTTCAACGAAAACAAGGGGAAATTTGTGGTCGGCCGAAACGGCGCCCCAAACCATGACACTTGACACATTTTGATATCGTTCAACGACTAAATCATCTTCAGGAATGTCCTCAATTGTCGCTGCGTAAACACGATCATTTTGCGCATTGAGACTTGGCTGCAAAAGGAACAACTTCTCGTCGGAGAAAACGATGTTTGAGGTTGCGGCCCGGCTTAGCAGATCTTTGCATTTTCGCTTTCTATCTTGCTTATTTTTTTTTTGTCAAACCATGTTTTCGGGTTTTTTTGAATGGTTTCATTCCCAAATCTTCTCTCAACACTCGTCGCATTGAAGATCGACTGATATTGTGCTCACGAGCTAATATTCTGGCGCTTCTTTTGTTATTTCGAAGAATTTTCTTTCGTACCTTTTGGACCAGACCTTTTGTTCGTACAGATCTTTTTCTGCCCGTTTTTCGCTTCACATCGACAGTTCCACGCTCCTTGTATCGTTTTATGGTGCGATGAATAAAATTCAAACTGATATTGTCGATCTGAAGCTTCCGAAAAATATCAATTTGTCGCAAACCTTTTTTATGCAAATTCAAAACGAGTTGACGTTTCACATCCATTATTGTAGCAAAGTAAACAAGAACTGCGCAATAATGTGCATCATCACAGTGGATAACCAAAACATGAATAAACATAACGGTAAACAAAAGAGTGACTGGAAAGTTATTATAGTAGTATCTACATAGGTGCGAAAAAAAATTGCAGTTATTCTGGCCCACCCTGTACATGTCGCACTATGCACAAACCGCGATATAGAATGTTGCGACCCGCGTTTACGTCCCGATTCCAAACCACGATCACAGTTCCAAGTCGGCCGGCCCGGTTGTTTTTAACTATCCTTTCAATCTTTGAAACCATTCGTTGTGGTTGTGGATTTGGTACATCCATTTGCATTTGTTCATCATCGTCAACGATAATCAAAATGTCTTCTTCTTGTTGTTGTTCTTCTCGTACTACTTCTACTTGTTGTACTACTTCAGCGACCAATGGCATCAGTTCATCTTCATTGATCACATTGGCTGGTGCTAGTGCATTGTTGACGTTTTCACCCATGGGGTCAATCACGAAATTCTAGCGCGACTAGTTTTTGATATAATTTCACTAGAAAACTAGAAAATTCTAGTGGGTGAAGTTGTCTCTCAGTAGTTTTTCATATAAATTATATGGCCTTTGTTGTGAAGTTGGCTTCGTTTGTGACGTCATTCTTCGCACTAGATTTACTAGTTTTTCTAGTGTTCACTAGCGTGATTCGCCCCATGTTTTCACCTGCATTCAAACGACGACGTAGTTCTCTTCTCAAACGACTTCGCTCTCTTTTCAAACGACGTTTTCTTTTCCTCGTCCAAACTATGTGTGCTGGTTCTGCAAGGATCTTTACAATACAATTCAAACACGTTCTGTATCGTGCTTTCGGTTGATTGTTTGGCGCTTCCAATACGGTCCAGTATAGACTGCACAACATTGTCGTTCGATTTTCATCTACTACCAAACACTTACATCCACGCGATTAAAATAATGCACATAGCGATTCGTTTGTGGTGTCTCTAGATGCCTTTTGAGACCTTGTCGCATCTTTGCTCCGCCGATAATAATGAGCGTTGGTTTGGCAGCTTGGCACAATTCGTATGTGATTTTATTCATACAATTCGTATGTGATGAAACCTCCGAATGCCAAATAGGTGTACTTGAGCGAACAGTACACTTTGATTTGTTCATTGAAAAAAACGAAAATGATGATTCGCAAAATCAACATAGTGTGGACATGTTTCGGAGATCTCCGGATACGTCATTCGGTCTGCCAACAAACGATCTTGCAACTTTGCGTCTAGTTCCACGCAATCTTTTGTTTTTTCGCATTGATCAGGCGATAATATTTGCCAGCCTCCACTCGAATATTGCGCTCCACTATCTCGTCATTATCTCGATATTCCCTGGCAACACCAGCAACTGTTAGTCTTTTGCTTGGATCCAATCCGAGCAATCGTTCGAATTTGCCACGTTCAAAATCTTGCGAAAGTCGTTCGATTCGATCTTCCTCGCTTTGTTTAACAATTGATTTGATGCAGTTCAGAGAGACGGCCACACCATCCGTGTAAATTAGTTGATTGAAATATTTCTTCGGTGTTGTCGGTATGATTTTTTCATAATCGAAATATTTCTGCCACATTTTTCGGACTAAACTTTTGTTGGCGAGGAACTCGTCTCGGTCGTAAGTTTTCGGTGTTTTGGTCGGTTTTCGTGGCTTGCGACCAACAGCAGTCAAAGGATCGAATAAAGATCTCAAATAGAACACAATGTGCCGGCGCTGAAACGTGGCCAATGGAACAATTTTGAATCGACTGATGTTTTCGATTCCAATTTCTTGTGCTTCATAAATAAACTTTTGCAAACGAAATAACAATTGGACATGCTGCATCCATGTTAGTTAAATGTCCATGAACATGCCACATTTATTTTCAATATTCGGCTCCAACAGCACGGTGAATGCATTAACCAAATCCGCTTCGTACTCAGCTGTCCCATCAAACAGGAATCGAATTGTGCGATTTACGACATTTTTGTTATGGCTTTTTTGTTGTTTTTTATAGGCTAGATGTAGACTATTTTGCACAAACATGAAAAATCGACGTGATCGAGCCTTCGTGTGTATATTGTGATAAGTAAAAAACACTTCTTTGGAAGTTCTCACTATGACGCAATACTGCACATCTGAAATCTGAAAATGATCTCGATTTTCATACTTTACAGTATATATGTACGGCTGGTAATAAAAGAGACTTTAAGCAGAAAAAATCTTAAAAGTGTCTCATAATTTGTAAAGGATTTACATAAGATGGAGACGGTTTAAAAAAACTTAAAGTCACTTTTATTCTCAGCCGATCATATAGAGTGACGCAAAAATACATATCACATATAAATATGTGTATATGTATGTTGGTATCGCGTCACTTGTGGGACTGCCGTCCCCCGTGATATTGTTCTTGAAATTTGTGTGATATTGTTTGTACATGTACTTGATTTGTTGCGCTGGTTTGGAGGACATCCTCACCATTTCACAACATAATATAGAGAAATTCCGGTGCATGCTTTTGAATTGGATAGTCATCGTTTCGGCACTTGTCTCGCATGCCGTAAAAATATTCAGACAACATTTGCTGTTTCTCCGACCATTGATCGTTTCGACGGTCAGTTTTGTTGAAAAATTCGTTAATTTCCTCCGGGGTGCCCTCTTCCATCTTTTTATTAAAGATGAAATGAATTGCACTCGATTGTGATACAAGTTTCGTGCATCGCACCACATCGTTAGAGATGCGGTTTAACAGCAAGCCTGTAAACCTTAACGTAATATGAACATATATATGACAAATTTCGATCAAAAATATTTTTTTTTGTTTAGTTTCTCGTTTAGTTTTGTTCTAATTCGGTTCAGCATCTTCGAATTTGTTGCCTTTGAATGTGCACAAAAGTACCGCTACATTCACAAAACACGCAAAGACATGTTTGAAAACCACAGCATTGTCAACAATTATGAAATTCAAATTGAATGCTCAATATAAATGGCGCAACACAAAATTGAATTTACCAAAAAAAAAAAAAATACACAAACCTTTTCTTTTTTCGATAGGAAAAAATAAAATGAAACAAACAATGTAAATGCACAATAACTTGGAAAATGAAAAAAAAATCTTCTTTTAGTTTCTCGTTTAATTCAGTTCTAATTCTGTTCAGAATGTTTGCACTTTTCTCGCAGTATTGCCCATTCGCTACGCCATATTGTCGTTGTCGCTGTGACGTCGTTCCGATGATTGCTATTGAGCAAATTGTGTGTACAAAATTGGTTCCTTGTGTTGTTCTCTCCACTGCTACTACCACCACTATCAAATCTCAATTTTCAGCAAATCTTTTTGCTGTCGCAACAATAAATACATGTGGTCATGCCCTACATTCTAATAGTTTTCAATAATCTCTCACTCACTCACTCACTCACTCACTCACTCACCCAGACACGCAGTCTCTCTTTCTATCTAACATACATTCTGTTTTCTACATTGTCATTTGGTAATCTCCATGTATACATATTAGAATTAATGTATAATCGAAAATAATCGAAAAAGAATCAATAACAATTATTAAATAATAGAAAGGCAATTTTTAAGTGAATTGCCCCTTAGAATACCCGTTTGTGCAACACCATTCGCAAATTCTTCCAATGTCATTGTTGGTATGCGAATCATTTTCAACGACGAACCCAATACATTACGTCGATTTTGTGGTGATGGATCAATGTCCATTTTGGTGCATGCCGACTGTGCCCATGTTTGTGCTGCTTCAAAAAGATGAATTTCACGGCAATTTAACGTTTCACGGCTCAAAATCGATTCAAACGTCTTCATATCGATGTCTACGAAACCTTCCGATTTTATTGCCATTTCAGCCTAGATTAGTTGTTTTTGTTGTGATGGTGTTGATTGTTGTCGATTTGTGACCAAAGCGACACCAAAATATAGGGAAAAGAAAAACAAAAAGAATCATTTTTAAAATCAAATCATTAACAACGAAATAAAACTAAAATCAGAAATTAGTCTGTATGTATTTTTTTTGCTCTAATTCTATGAGAGTATACAGAGTGCCAAATTCAAGCAAATATGTTTTTATTTTATATTGCTACTATTCTTGATTAACCGATCCGTTACAATGACCAATCAATTTTCAATTAAGTGGATACACCATTTCTAAATTAAGTTCTTGTATGGTTTTTTATTCGACTTTTGTTCCATAAAATGTTTATTTGTTTATTTAACAATATTTTTTACGTATTGCGTTTACAAAGAATTCACAACGACACACTTTAGACAGATGATAGATCCGTCCGTTTTTCCTGTATTTTGTTATCTAAACCACAACACACATGATATTATTGTTGTTTTTTTTTTGCCATAAGAATATGATTTACGAATTACAACACAGATAACATTGATACATTTTACATAGTTTATTTTCGATTCAATAAAAAAATCGATTATTATTATTTTTTATTTTCGTTCTGACTATAAATTGACATTTATGAGATAGAAAAAAACTGTACATGCACCATAAGACATAAAGAACAATTGTATCGAATAACGAATGTTTTGTATAAAATCTTGGCTTGATCCATCAAATACACTTCAAAATATATAGTATCAGTCATGGTATTTTAGATCAATAGAGCCGAGCTATTTCATGTCATTTTTTGAAAATAACAACCACAAACACGAAATTCTCTCAAAAATAATTATTATTCAGTGTCAATTGATATGGAAAATGTTCTAGTCAAGCGGTTTGTGATTTTCTATTTGATATTATGTGTTAGAAGCTTGTACTGTATTTTTCTAAATCATTATTATTGTAAATAGCTTTCTTGTCAATACAAATGTGATTTCTGTAGCTATTGTTTCGATTTGTACCATTGATTGGCGATAAATCAACTCGTGTGCTAACGGCATTTGCATCGTTTTTCGTGCAGCTTTGACTGACATTTAAATTATCTAATCGATCACATACCTGTGCATCGATGACTTCCCAGCATCGTTGCATTAATTCAGGTTCTTCGAATAAACGCGACTGACTTAGCAGTAAACAAGCATTCTTTGCCGTTAGACTAGTTTCCAAATAATTGACGCAAGCACGAGCCAAATGCGGTACAATGTATTTTTTAGCTGCATACAATGTAGCCAATACGTTGTCTGCTTCTAAATAAATTTCATCACAGTACAAATACCTATTGAGCAGAAGAGGGAAAAGAAGTAGAACAAGAAAAGTGAATTGTTAAAATTGAAAATGACAGAAAAAATCGTTTAATCGTATTTTAAAAATTTGAAAATTATTACTTAAGTAGCGTCAAAAAGGCCGATGGTTCAACGTCAGGAACTTTAATTTCTTTCTTATTCTCCGCTAAGCCGCCATAGAACATTGCATAAAACACAGAGCTTCCCGTTGCTAACACATATTTGTGTGAATGAATCGTTTGAATATTATCTATAAAGACATTAGTAATTTTAATTGAAAAATCGTAAACAATAAATCGATAAAATGAGAACAAGTAAAATGAAAAAAGTTCTGAATAATGGATGTGTGTGCGAAACCGTGTAGTTTATTATTCAATTATTGTCAAACTTACCGTCACTGCCAACAATGAAACTAATATCGGACATGAGTTCATTGTTAAACATGGCTGCATTTCGTTCACGTACAGTTGGCTTGGTCGCTTGCCAATTAGGATCGCCCGTATCAATAGTAAAAATTGTGTTTGGCATCGTAAACGATGAAGAACTTTGGGCACCCGGTGATGTTAAAGGTGACGATGGAATGCTTGATGGTTGAGTCACTTGTATATTTTCCCGTTGTACATGCGAATTATTATGTGGTGGTGATAACAATAAATGGCCATTGTTTAATGATTCTACTGCAATTATAAAAAAGTAGAAGAGTTGAAAACAAACTAAAATACCAGTATGAATCCCTTGAAATCAAAAGATATATTCAATCAAACATTTCGGAAAATTTGAATTTTAAAAAATTGCAACGCGAATAAAGGTACCAATAAAAGGACGGAAAAAAGTAAAATAAAATATAATAATAACTGCAACGAACAGCGTTCCTTCGCCTTGGTGGCTTATTGAAAATAATTTAATTAAATAAATATAATATAATTCATAAGTCTAGCAGATAATACAATGCGAAAAAGATCTCCAAGCAAGTCTAGCATGATACATGAACGAAAAGTTCAAGTGGTGAATTTGATAGCAGCATTTGGCCATAAAACAAATAGATGATAAATCAAGTCTTACCGTTTGTCCATGAATTTGTTTGAGAAAATGACATGTTCATTTGCTCAGGCGATTTATTTGTCGACGACGACGATGTTGATGATTTTTGAGCTGCTTTGTTATTTGGATTCGACATATTTTGCTCGTTGTTGTTTTTAATGTATAAATCTGTAGCTTTCTCTTCTAAATACTTATTTAAGTCTGACTGTTTTGATTATTTGCACTTAATTATAACATTTGCAAGTCGACTAAATTATTTTTGTTTACTTTGTTTTTGTTTTTTTTTTTTTTTTTTTTAATTGGATGTGGTCCGTTCCTTATCTAGTCGTATTATTTACACTGAAATAAAGATCAGTTTTTGCGTAAGATTGACTAAATGCACAAACACAATTGAGTAAAACAAGAACAAAGAAAAATTGTTTGACTGCAAAATTGAAATTTGCTGTAAAATTTGGTATTTTCTTCAGCTTTATATTATTTTATTTCACAAAATCAGCCATCTTTGGGGTTAAATCATTTTTTTCCTATTCAGTCTGTAAACTTTTAACGTAGTATTTTTGCCTGTCAGTCGATTTTTGCTGTTATTGCTTTGAGCAAAACTAAATAATACTTGTTTTTCTCTGCTCCGTCGGTATACGAGTGTTAGTTTTTTTTAATATGTATTGTAACAGTGTGTTAAGAGAATGGGCAACGGCAGCAGCAGCGGCACAAATAACTCTTTGGTATCATATATATATATTTACGCTGTGCATTCAGCATTGCGATATTTTCGAAAATATATGCGCGCACACAGTCAACCATTCTCGTATAATGAACGAGTGAGCAGAGTATATTACTTCGTAGTTATGTACGGGCGCCAATATGACAGTTCATATATTTTACACACAAATACAATCAATAAAACGATTGCTGGTTTTGTGTTGGAGCAGTCGCAGCACAGAACTACATACAACTCAATATTAGTTCTACTTTTGCCTGAAACTGTATGAGCAATTCTCTTATGCATTCATAACGAATATTCAAAACGGCCAAATGAAACGCTCACTCCACCGACCACATCCATACGTGTGTACGCATGTGCTTTTGCTCAGAAGAATCAATGCTATGACCAGCTATGACGTTATTCGCACAAAAAAAATCAACATTCGTTTGGACGGGAAAATGCATTGCAACAACCGCGTTACCTTTTGCTTTCTTTGATTCGCGTAATTTTTTACTTTTATGTTTTGGCTCGAAATATAAACAAACTGTTAGCAAAAAAACGCTTCGATCATAGTCTTTGCTTTTCACTCGACTCCAATTTATATTAATTAAATATTCACGATTTATTACGATTGCATTGATTGATTTATTTGCATTTTTATAAATCAAACAATTCCTCCTTATGATTGCATCCACATACTAACACTTTATATACTAATATTGATAAACTTTATATTTGCTGTTGTTTCATAAAAAGGCTCGGAATGCATTTGTTGAGAAATATAAAACTATTACCACCGCGAATTCCATTGTGAAGTATTATTTTTCGTTCGTTTATTTATCTTTTTTCATGAAACAAGTTCGAATATGAATGAACGAAAAAATATAATCTTCATCGCCTTCCAGATGACATAACACATGTTATGAAAGTAATTTTGCAAATAAATATTCCGTTTAATCAAAATCTTTCGTTAAAATCATTTAAAATGATCAAATTACAATGCATATACTTGAATAAGCAGCGATATACATTTGGCATTATTTTCAAGCAAAATTTATTTTGAAGCGTAAAATATTCAAATGTTTTTCGTTCACTTAATTATAAATATAAAAAATTTTTTGGAAATTGGTATTGTTGTAAAATATTAAGATTGCTAGTTTACATCAATGAATCTATGTCTGTATAAGGCGAGACGGGATCATGATCTAAATGTTATGGTAAAAATGTTGAGGCAATTTGAAAATTGTTAATTATCAAAATGTGAATATACAATTAGCAGCTTCATAATATTTTTTTTAGTGAAATGAAGATGGGGAATAACACGAGGATATGGAGAGAGAAAGAAAAAACCAAGGGGTTTCACTTATTTAAATGAAAGAGAGATAAATTTTATTCAAATATCAATGCTTATTGAATATCCATGCACATTATTTGAATAAAATCAAGATGACGGCTATTGTAGTTAAGTATCTAAATATTGCATCCATATTTACTCAATATTGAAAGTGAATCATACGTCCAAGCAGCAAGGGTCCGAGGGAACCGATTACAACAAATTCCCCCCTGATAAAGTGTTATGTTTCAAGAATTTTCAAAGAATACTATTAACTTTCTAGTCTATTCACTTTCTGAAAGGGAAGAAAATCTTTCGATTTGCTAGAGATTTTCGAACTGCTTTTTTGGAGGTCAACTTTTTTCTTCAAAGTAGAATCAGAAGTTTTCGATTCAAAAATCAAAGCCCATTTTCGCCCATTTTTACACTGGACTCTCTATTTAGTGCGAAATTTTATATTGAATCAAATTGTAATCTCAATGAATAATCGGAAATTTGTAATTTTTTCTAATGCTAATTTCCGTTCGTTCAATTTTCCAGGAGTTTTATGGGCATTTGGGAATTCCTAAAATTATGTTAAATGAATTTAATGCACAAATGTTAAAAAAACTCAATTCATAATAATGATATATTCTTTTTTGATGGAATTTTACCATTCAATGTGATGGCCATCAAATGCTCAGAAGCAACTTAAGAAGTATTTCAATATTTTTATGTACATCTTAAAATTTGGAAATTTTTTTGATGCTTTATTTGTTCAATTATAAATTTCTTAGTAAATTTCTTATAAATTATTAGGGAGCATTTTCTTACGGGAGGTTGTTACCTTTCAAATTTTTTCCTTGTCAAAGTCAAAATCAATTTTTGTGCAGATAAAACATAAAAATCCAACATAAAAAGCTAATGTACTGAGCCAACAAAAGTATTAGAAATATGACTCAAATGGATTCGTGCACTTTCAGGTAAACATTTTTGTTCATAATAATAGAGTTTGATTTAAAGCGGTCTATACAGATTTTATGTGTATACATTTTGCACTATTAAAAATTGCGCATGCAACGATATGAGAATTGATTGCTATAGAATAAAAACAGCGTATGAAAAGGTTGCATTTCAAAGCGAAACACCGTCATACAAAATACAGCAAAAAATGTATGTAAAAACAACCTTTGGTGTGCGACCGTATCATACGCTGTATTTATTCTAGAGAATTCAATTTATTATTGATCATCATTACAAAAAAATGGCAGAGAGTTTCACTTAATATTCTTAGTCCTTCACCATCGAAATGAAATACGACATTGGCATTTCAATTCATTACAATGTAATGTTAACACATGGACTTTGAGGTTTTGTTTCAACTTAAAATGGCAATGTCAATGACAGAAAATAAATCTTACAATGACATTCTTGTGCTCTCAAGTCGAACTAAATTCTTCTTCGAATGGATTTCTTTTTAATGTAATGGTAAATAATCGAATTCTATCGAAAACTTTTAATTTATAATTTATTATGCCAGTGTCGTTGTAATTCAGAAATAATGTGAATATCGACCATTCAATTATGTAAAAATTCAAAAATCGAACAATTTAATTGCAAATGGAATATAATTATAGTATTATTAATTATAACTTTGTACCGTGTGTCTAGCTATATGTTTCAACATGAATTGAAAATTGCATATTAAAAACACCTATTCTCAACAGATGGTGATTCTGATTTATAAAATTAATCTGAAAATTTGAGTCTAGTCGTTTCGTAAAAGACCACACATCGAAAGGTACAATCGGTCTATAAATGATTGTTGTTGTTGTTGTTTGTTGTTGAAAATTTGGGGTTTTACTCTGAATTTTGGATGTATTTTTCAAATTATGATTTGTATTTTACTTACCTGTAGTGTTGTCTGTACTAAGATTTTTTCTGATTGAAAATGATGAGTTGGTGTGCTGTTGATTACGATAGTAACCAGTTTCATTGCATCCATATGTATGTTCTTCTTCGTCATCAAAATGCATTTGCTGCAAGTGCAGATCACGTATGCCAATACAATTAATATCATCTTCGTCCATTGTTAGTAAATTATCTAGCACGTAGGCACTGTTTTCGAGTGGTTCGTTGATTTTTTGTGCCAATTCTGAGCACCTATGGGCCAAATGCCAAATATCCGATTGCGAAACAGCCCATTGCAGTACCTGCAATCCCAAACTGTTCTTCAAAGCGGACGCAAGCAAATCCGTCATTGCTCAGGTTTTTTTGCGGTCAGCTAATTTATGTTATTTTACTGAGTATCAACAACCACAAAAGTACCTTTTTGCTTGCGTATTAACGGAACGCGATCAAAAAATGCACTTAAGATTTTTTTTTTTTTTTTTGTAAGTGACACTTGTTTCCCTTACATGCACAATATATTCACTAAGTTCATCAATTATTATTTTTCCAGCGAATATTTCTTTCATGTATAATTTGATTTTGAATATAACACCTTACTTTCACTTCGTTCAACTAATTAACTATGCGAATCCATATATTGATGACTTAGTGTTTTCACCGAGATTCAGTCAGTCGATATTGTTAAGTATCGTTTTTATTTAGACACTGAGTTCCGAATTCGAAAGGTATCGATGTGACACCATCCACAAGCAGATATTTTTTGTTTTCATAATCATTGTCGTTTTGTTGAGTTGGCCCATTATTGTTATAATCAAAAAGTTACGGAAGAAAGAGAAGAGAAATGTTAGTAGCATCCATTATAATGGGAACAAAATTGAAACAAAAGTATACAATACATATAACAAATTATTACATAAATATCATTCAACTTATCACGAGTCGTTGAATTTTTTCGGCAAATATTTAAATTTTGTGAGTTTTTGAACCTGATTTGAGAAATTAGAACAAATTATTACTGTAAATCGAATTGTATTAGAAAATCGTCAAAAATATATCGTATATGGTTATATATAACAAAAAGTACATAAGTTACAATTGCAGTAGCGTTTTGTAGTTAAAAATTAATTACTCAAGTTGTTGTTAATGTCAAAATGCACTTCAAACTGAATTATTATGCAAACAAAAAGTTTGTAGAAACGAAAAATTATATATATTCACTTCGGTAAGCAAAATGCGATGTAATGGCCGAAATTTGAAATGTAGAACTGCTGACTAAATAAGTGTTGTCGCTATGTCTGTGTTCAAAAATTGACTGTGGCAGACAGTTGAATAAACGGTCAATCATTGTTGAATTGCCTAATGGAATAAGTAAATGCAGTTAAAATTCGATTTGGAATTTAACACACGGTTAAAGCAAGACAAAGCTTCAAAAAGTCAGATATAGGCCAATGTGGACTCATCATGTTAACTCATATGCGAGTATATGTAAATTCAATCATCAGTCACACTGATTTAGTGAACATGATGAGGAAATGATTTTCGGCGTTTTGTTTGCGTGTATCAACAAAATGATGAAAACCAAAACGGAAAAACATGTTTTTGGCATGACGAAATATTTATGAATGTCTGCATGGGATCTTTGCCGCCGGTCAAATTATGAGACAATGCGTTTTATATTCATTCCATATTCGATTGATATCAAGCTAGAGGAGAGAAAAAAAGAGATCACATGAGTTTTTTGCACAAATTCAAGTGAAAGTCCAAAAGTAAATGGTAAATTGAAGCTCATTTTTCTTGTGCTGATTCGTTTTCTTTCGTCAATTCTCTTTTTCTCTTCTTCATTTGTTTTTTTATTATTATTTATTTTCTTAATACATGTGCAACGTTAGTACTTAAAATATTGGGCGATCATTACAACTAAATACTTTTATAAACTTTCATCGAATTTCAAAGTTTTCTATAGTGCTGTTGACAATGATCAAACAAATGTGAAATTTTAGTTTAGTTTCTGTATATTTATTACAAAAAATATACCTCATACAATTTTGATGTTGTTTTGACATAAACGTGATAAGTAGTAAATCGTTAGTAAATAATTTCCAAGTTAAAATTCCTATGTTGGCGTCAACAATAACAACCGCTTTCAATGGAATTATAGGTTTCCAAAAGTGTATTCAACGCAATAGAAATCATTGCAATATTTACAGATGTATATTTTTTTATATTTTTTTCTTGCTTTTTGGTCATATTCAACTGATTTTAACTTGTTACTAATATTGGACAAAATATAATAATATTTACATTTTTTTGAGTGGGATAGATGTATTCAGTCCAGAATAATTAAAGTTTAATTTTTGTTCTTCGCTGGTCACTTGTTTAATTATTTACAGGAATCGCAAGTAATCATAATATTCGTAACAACGAAGCTTTCGACGATTCACTTAAATTGAGCCCGTTTTATAATCTGTAAATCGACAAAACTTTCTTCTTATAAAATGCAGCATAAATGCACTCACTAAATCGTTTGTTAAATAATATTGCTGTTTGTTCAGCTCTTCCATTAGCGTTATGATTTCGATCTTTCTTTTTACTTTATTTAATTTAACAAAAAAAGAGTTCTTGAGGACAACATTTATTTGAAATAAATTCCTTGTATCAGGTTTATGGCCTCCAAAATTTTGCTCACACAAAACAAAGCACAAAAGAAATGTTGTTCGAGCAACAGACATCATAACTTTACACTTGGCATTTAAACATTTAACTTTTTTATGATAAATAATAATTGATGCACAAAAAATATAATAATACGCCAAGAACTCTTTTCATATTTCGTTTCGTTATGACATCAAACTTCACGAAAAAACATAGCATACACATACCGTTTACAATGCGTTTGAATAAACACATAACCGTGTTTGAAGTAGATGGAGCACTTTAGATGAATGATCATCCGTTGCCGAAATCGTGAGAGATTGTGTGATGAGTCGACAGTTGAATTGTTCACGTTTTACAATGAATCCAATGAACACATGCTAACAAATGTCCAAATAGGTGCGCGCAATTTCAGTATATGTATGCCGGAGACAGTTTTGTTGATATTTTTTATCATTCCTTCCTTCTTATGTTTTCATTTCTCTCTTTCTCTTTCAGCTCGGTCATTCTCTGCCGCTATATCACACACCTCTTAAACCGAACAATCTGTAATCCGTACATATTTAGATATGCAAGCATTTGTGCGTTTTACAATAAAGGAATGAACACAAATGAAAATCGAATTTCTTGAATTTAAAAAAGAAAACAAACAAGAGAAAAAAGAATCCCTGTATGCGTAACGAAAATCACGTTCAGATATGTGTTTCAGGTCGTGTATTTTTTACGCTTGATTTTATATAGTACAATCAAGTAATGTTGTCAATGGACCAGGCAACAATGGGGTGTGTGTGCGCTTTATAGAATTTATTATTCTTAAAAGCGATGGTGATTATCATTTAAGTCTCTTATCAATTGTCTACAATGACAAAAATCGGTATTCGCTTGCAATGTACCCTAAATGACCAAAATTAAAATTGATGATATCTGTACTTTTGATTCCATTATTTTGTTTCGATTTTATTCGGTTTCCCGACTATTATTGTCTATGGGTCTGAAGAAAAACCCTAAAAAATGCAGTTTTTATAAAACGCTGAAATTACTAGCTAAAAACACGGAAAATATGTTATTAAATATGATGATAAATTTCAAACGAAGTAATTTAACAAATAATGCATAAAAAAGTAAACAAATTGATAGTGTCGTTTAATTTTCAATTTACTTGAAATATATACAGTGAATCTAATATTTTTGGTAGACAAAATTTTGCATGACACACTCCACTCACATGCCATTCGTATATGAATCCTATGTTAGTGGAGAGTTTCTCTGCTTACTTTGCTTGTTATTTTGTCTATCAAAATAATTAGATTCACTGTACATTCTACCCAAGGAACAATTTGAAATGCAAATTCATCCATTACCAGGCAAAAATTAACGGTCAAATTTGGACTTGGATTTGTATGTAGTTTCAGTTATTTTTACGGTTGCCATAGCATAACATTCAGGTGTGAATATATGGAAAAGAGGAACGACAATCATTAGTATCAATATTTTTTTAAATTAAAAACTTTACTCACCCACGGGCTCCTTCCCTCCGTACAACGGTTAAATACAAACTGGGTAATAGATTTAACAAAATAGGAAGTAGAATTAACAAAGTGTAAAGTACGATTTGGGCAGTAAAATTGACAAAATAAGTAGAGAAATTGTACAAGTTAGGCAGTCAAATTATACGAAATATGTTGTCAAATTGTACAAACTTTATACTACGAAGCATGGTGAAAAGTTTGAGTCTTACTTGAAATCCATCGCCGAATCGACATAGCGATGAGTCTGATAACGTGTTGAGATCTACTTTTTGTGAAAAATTAACTAATTCCTCAATTTACAGCATTTTCGAAACATTTTTAAAATAATCAATCGAATAATCAATAATCAAATTTTTTATGCGTGAAAATTTTATTCACAAATCTCGTTTACCTCGCCTAGAGACAGAGCAATGCATTTGCAAAATGTTGAAAAAATAATGCATCAGAGGGTTAAATAAATAAATGAAGTACTATTGGTACATTTTAATTTTTCTTGCTCCCTAAAGTGGAACCTTTAATATAGACATCTGAAATATCAAAATAGAACTCCACTTTGTGATTCCACGTTGAGAAGCATAATCGTTGTTGTCATAAAATTGATATCGCTAGCGTTAGCAAAACTTTTTGGCTTCAACATTTTATTTTTCCAATGCAAAATCAAATTTTTTTTCACGAAAATTTAAAATGAATGTAGGTTTGCATAGTTTTATGATTGGATATATTTTAAAATATGACAATGAGAACAACAAAACTATTTACACAGCAAAAATGAATCAGTTTGAAGTTGACATGAAACGCCCATTCCGAAGTATTTTCGCCACATCCTGATAATTGCCATTGTGAATTCGACGCTTAATTTCCTTCCGTCCCCTTTGCAAAGCACGTTTGCTAACCGTTGCCACAATTATATCTGGTAGACTACCGACTGAGTCCGGTAATCCAGCAATCAGTTTCGCCGCTTTGCAACCGTAGCACACTTTGAATCAATGCGGTTTTATGTTCACTGAAAATCGTTTTCGGCAATTCGCGCATGTTTGTAATGTTCCCCATTCATCTTCCATTTTCCCCACTGGATGGTCAAGTTTCTTGACGCTCTCCAAAAATATACTATAACTGAATTAATATTAAAAATCTCTTTGTAGGTAGGCACATAGCTTACCTCACAACAAGTAAAATCAACCACAAAGTGTCACATGTATTTGCACTAATATTTGTAATCTACTAGAAAGTGTCGCATCTATAAACTGTCAAATTTACAAATACCAATGTATGACACCTTTTATATGGGATAGGTAGTCAATTTCCGGTCGATGTCAATTTTCGAAAAATCGTATATACTACTAAAATGTACTAATTATGTACAATTATGTACAACAATTTTTATGATTATGTACCAACAAAAAAAATTCAGAATTTGGATTTTTAAAAATTGAAAATATCAAAACCCGGAAAATGTTTACCCGAATTTGTACAACACCAAAGTTATACGTCGTTAAAATGTACAAAATATGTACAATTCAAATCACCCATCAGATTTGAAAAATGTTCATCGGGTCACTATCTGGAGCCAAAAGTTCAAAAATAAAAAAAGTTCGATTTACGGATTTTTTTTTTTTCAACTTTCGTACACCTCCAGTGTATACGTCGTTAAAATGTACAAAATATGTACAATTCAAATCAACCATCAGATTTGAGAAATTATCATCGTGTACCCAAATTTCACCCAGTCCAATTTTTATAGCAGTTTCTGAATTCGCCGCGAATGGCCAACTTTTTAATCATCCATATTATCATAACAAAGTATATTGTATAAAAATTTGACTTGTACATAATCAATATCGATTGTACAAAATCAGATTTGACTTGTACATAATCAATATCGATTGTACAAAATCAGATTTGACTTGTACATAATCAATATCGATTGTACAAAATCAAATCTGACGGGTTTTGATATTTTCAATTTTTAAAAATCCAAATTCTGAAAAATTTTTGTTGGTACATAATCATAATAATTGTTGTACATAATTGTACATAATTAGTACATTTTAGTAGTATATACGATTTTTCGAAAATTGATATCGACCGGAAATTGACTACCTATCCTTTATATGGGACACTTATTAATGCAAATACAGGCGTGTCAAAAATTTTTAAGCTTGGCATATAAAGAGAAGTAGTTTCAAATCGTTCTTGTGCTGTAATTGAAGTACGAACCTTCAAACGTATAGCCACAAAAAATTGGGACAATATCTCTTATGGATAGTTTCCTATGTTGGCCATTTGGCCATCATCTCGAAATTCTTGAAAACTTTTACAAAATCAACTACTTCATTTTCCTCTTGAGATATTTTTCATATTTAAAAAGTGGAAATACTAGCTAAAGGCCGGCCCCAATAAATACAATAGATGGTGAATTTGAATCAAAGTTCAGGTGGTGGTTGTGCTTGTCCAAATATTAACTTGCGAGCTGTCATGCGAGAACAAAATTTTCTTCAGAAGAAAACGTTATTTTACTTCTACTACAAAAACGCAATTCATACATCTCTCGAGCGTAGTACAGTCCCAAGACCATAATATTTTATATTATTATTTTAATATTTCAACCATCAATATACCATTTGTATCCTAGAAACAGAAGCCATATGTTTAAAAGCATCTGTTTGGAGGCGACCTTCTACTGGTGCCTTTTCACCACTTCATACTACTGTGTTCTCTTTACTTTGGTCTTTAATTTATAGTACTGGAACCAGGCTTCATTGACAACTACTATTGATTTATTCACCACATTCTAGAAGCTTGAGAAATCAATCACAAGAGAAAAGTGTTAATCTGTTAAAAAAAATTCAAAGGCTTTTCGAATGATCGCGAACAAACGTTCTCCAAGTAACATTTTCCGTGTGATATATTGAAGACACTATCTGCTGCGATGCTGAGGGTCGCAGCTAACGTACTGTTGGACATTTGGAATATTTCGTGAACTACACTTGGATTTTGGCCATCACATCTTGAACTGTTTCCACTAATGTCACAAAAGTGTGAGAGTCAACATTCATCTAGTCTCTGCACAACTATGAAGATTTTTCTTATTCTTTGACTATGGTATACGATGGAGGAGGGTCACCATAAACTACACGCAAGAAGTGATTGAAATCATTTGATGCTATACCATATTTTGTGGTGTACCTAATCTCAACATGATTTTGGAATTTTTCAGTTTTTCAAAAAATATCAAAATGACTAAATGCCTAATGCCGAAGTAAACATATGAAGAGAGATATGAACTCAATTTTTTGTGGGAATACTGTTGACAGTCCATACTTCAATTACAGCACAAGAATGATTTAAAAACACTTCTCTTTATATGCTAGGCTTAAAAATTTTTGACACACCTGTACATGTGACACTTTTTGAGGTAGATTTTACTTGTTGTGTGGTAAACTATATGCCTACCACATAACCTAAAAAATCTACTATTTATTTTTTTTTGTGTGCATTGTTTATTTTTTTTTTTTTGAGCGTAAATGAACAAATGAATTGTTAGATTTTCAATTTAAAACTTAATGTGTTGGGCTGTGTTCAGATTATGTTGTCAAACAAAATATTATTGGAAGTGAAAGAAACAAGTGAATCCATACCATTGGAATTCGTAGCATATAATCTCCGTTCCATTTGACACGAAAATGACCACCCGAATGGGTCAAAACGCTACATTTTTCAACGTTGGAATATATACATTCTAGTTTGATGTAGTCAAATATATAATAAAATGTCTTACATCCGTAAGATGAACTTTTCCGCACTGTGATCCACGACATGCATTTATTACAAATCTTTTACTCAAATAATTCACGAGAAAACTAAATCTGACATTAGTTTTAGATAAAAATAATTTTCGAAGGACTTTTCTTACAAAAACTACTAAAGATGGGAATTTTTGTATCGGAGCCATGCCT